CAGTTAACTAACGTGGCTAACTGAGCTGCCAGCCCATTTTGCTGTCAGCTTATGAGCGCAGAAATTCATTTAAATTTATCTAGTTGTCAGTTTTGCTAAGCTTAAAGATATTTGCACAATTTGCTCGTAAAAAACAAATCGAGCAATGAAGGAAAAAGAGGAAAAAAATAAAATGAAAAAAAAAGGAAAAATCCACCATACAAATAGGAATACAAACAGAAATAAAACGGCAGCCGCTAACGAAGCGCCAACAACGTAGAAGTCCAAGTCGTAGTCGCGGTCGCAGTCGCAGTCGAGGAGGATGACGACAAAGCTGTGGGCAGCGCCAGTTTAGGGTACAAGCAACTGGGTATGCCTGATTAGACAGGCAGTTTGTAACGTGCTCCAAAACTAAGTTTTGATATGAGCTGGCAGAGCTTAAGTCAACTTATCATACCCTTTTTCAACAAAGTTCTCTCGCGAAGCCTTTAAAATATGCCTCAAAGCTTTTGAAGAACTTGAAAGAAATAAAAAAATTAAACATGCTATTATTATGAATACCACAAATATAATTATTATTAAGTTTATGAGTATCATTATTTAATACCAAATTAAGCTTCATCCATATCGATATCTACATCAATTTGTATAATATGGCAACACGCAGCAAGATTTGGCAGAGTGTGTAAAATTCGTGCTGTTTAGTAAAAAAATGTTATCCTCAAATGAATGTTGTTGTTGTTGTTGGCTGTTTGTTTGCCCGTTTGGCAGGTGCAGTTTGCATTCGCCAGTGTTTGTAGCTGTTGCTGTTGTTGTTGTTGTTGTTGCTCATTAGTTTTTTGCTGCCACAAAGTCTACGTCTGTTACCATTTTGGGCTGGCTGGGAATAAGGCGCTGGATTAGCCAGCCAGCCAGTCAGAGTCGGCGTTAGGAGCTAAGAGTTAAGAGTTAGGAGTCAGCGTTCGGTTAAGATAGATAGCAAAGCCAAAAGGAAAATCGAAACATTTGCCCAGCTCTATCGCAAGTGTGGGAAACTTTTATTTCAAGGTTCAAAAGACGCCCGCAGAGTGTGAAAAATGGCTAAAGAAAAAAATAAAAAAAATAAAAGCATGTGAGTGCTTGTGTGTATTATAAAGCCTGGCGGCGTTGCTTAGGTTAGCTGCCCCCACGGCGTATGCGCAATGCCATAAATTCAGATGTGCTAACGCCGAAAGTGTTGTGTGCGTGTGTGTGCGAATGTGTGTGTGAGAGTGTGTGATCGGCATCGCTCATACGCCATGTTGTTTCATAATTATAACTTAAATACGACAGTTTTATATAAAAATCCACTAGTAAATCAATGTGCGCGCGCCTGGCAATTAACTGCCAAGAAACGTAACAGACATAACGACGAGTCGGTTGGTGGTGGTGCTGCTGCTGTTGTTGCAGTGGTGGTGGTGGTGCAGTGGTGCAGCGAAGCACGTCGCCAGACAGACAGTCAGCTAGCCAACCAGCCAGCCAGCCAAGCGAACTGTCAATTATAACCAATCGCACACCAAGTGCACATTAAACCCTATCAACTGTTTTTGTAATTTATTGTTTGGTTTTGCCAACAAGTCGCATTTGGTGCGAGATCCGCATTGCAGGCACCGCACAGCACCGCTGGGCGCTGGCAACCCGGTTGCAGTCTTTGGCTTTGGTCGTCAGCCTCATCATAATTATCGCTGGCTGCTCGGGCGGCACGTTCAACGCAATCGCGCACAGAGCTCCCAGCTAGCAGCTAGCAGCTCCCAACTCTCAAGCTCGCAGCCAAAGTCAAATGAGCAGTTTATGGCCAAGACAACCATTTTGAAGACGCGCCAAAGGAGCTGCCACATGGCTGCTAACTTGACTCACTGTGGCCACGTATGTGCATCTGTTGTGTCTGTGTGTGTGTGTATGTGTGTGTGTACCACTCGGGGGCAACATTCACTTTTTTTATTGCACCACTTTGGCAATAGGCACAAGTGTGATTTCAAATCTCTGGGTCGCCTAAACGCGCGGCCCGGGCCACCGCCACTAAATTGGCAGAAATATGAAGTCAGCGTGTGCATTTCGGTAAAAGCGGTGATTATATGCCGGAGAATGGACATTTTTTGGACACAAAATATATGACAGTCAGTCGCCTGCTGTTGGCTGCTGCTGCTGCTTTTGCTGCTACATAATGCGCATTAGCATATGCATTCGCATCCAAAAGCCAAAGCCAAATGAATGCTCCCTTCTAAGCGGCGCAATTGCAAATGGGGCAACACACCGCAATATGGCTAAATGGCAAAGAAACGGCAACAAACGGCACTGTGGGCTGACGTTGATGGCCAGTTCAATTAAATGCCATCAATTTTAATAACACGAGAGACGGGGCAGTCTCTCAAATACACACAAACACACACACATATATACGGGGCTGTTGCTACCTTGGGCGCTGTGCAGCCAAATGCTGGCATGGAAATTACAAATGCATCAGTAACAGCCGCAAACAAGCGTCTCAGAGGTCCGAGTTCCCGGTCTGGGCGCATGTGTAGACAGACCTGGCTCTAACGCACTTGAATCACTTGAGGCTAAAACAAGCGACCGGCCAGCCCGACGACCGGGCGACCATTTCACAGGCCCCCGTTGACGGTCAGCTGCGTCAGCATCAGCTCAGTCCGAGCGGCCGAGTCTGTTGTGGCCCTCGGTCATGTTGTTCCAGGGGGCCTCAGACAAAGCACTTAAGCATGGGTCACTCGTACAGTTTGGCAGCACACAACAGCAGCAGCAACAACTGCTGCAACAACAACAACAGCAACAACTGCAACAACAATAACACTAACGGCGACAGGCAGCCAAGACGAGAAGAGCTTTAACAAGTGAAAATTGAAAGCGGTAGCCGCAGAGAAGGGAATCAGGCAATCGAAATGAAGAATATGAAAAACAAAAAATAAAAATATTGCAAAATTACAATGTGTTAAATGCAACAAGTATGGAAATATTTTTATGTAGTAAACATATTTTATATATATAATATATAAATATAAAAAAGTATATTAAATTATTTGAAAAATATTCCTGGATTCTCGTGCTTTAATTAAAAAATGTCTCTCATTATTTTCTTATATTTATTAAGGCATAGGAAATCTAGAATCAAGAGCCAGCTAAACTTTAATATTTAAGATAATGCTTTGGTAATATGCTCAATATCTAAGTAAAATACATGCTATAGTTTATTTTATTTATTTATTTATCTATATGTATGTCTGTAAGAATAATGTAAACAATGAGTCACAGCTTCTCAGACTGAGTCTATACAGATTATCCCAGCAAAACTATTCAAAACATGAATACTATACAATAAGTAACGGTAAAACAACAAGAACGTAAAGCAAAGCCAAAACCAGATTGAACAATTAAGCAAATGTTTATTTAAATAAAACTTTATTCAAATGATAAGCGTAGGAACATAAAGTTATAACAATGTAAATGGGCCATAAATATGCACATAGTTTCGTTAAGTCGATCGGCTAGCTTGCCAAACTATAAAATTCCAACACAGTTCGTATAAATTCGTTATGTTCAGTCCATTTGGCATTCATTAATATGTATAGGCCAAGGCTAAAAAAGGAATATTCGTCATTCAATGAAGTTTGCCAATGTTGTGAAGAAGAAATTGAAAACAAAGAGATGAAGAAATGGAAGGTGGTAAAAAAGTAGCAAAAAGACAATTAATGATTAGCTGATACAAAGGAATTAATTAAATTTTGATCAACTTTTAAGATAATTAAATGTAGACATATAATGGCAAAAAGACAATTAATATCAATTTAAAGCTGGGAACAACGTTTTTTAATGCTTACACATTTTAACCACTTTTTCTTTCATGTAAAGAAAAATACTCTCTTATCACGAAAAATAAACCAAGGAATATTTCACAATTCACAAAATTGTCCACTTTATATATTTGGATCTAAATTTTTACAAGCTTAATTTGTTTTAAGATAGTTAAGACTGCTTAAGCTGGGCACGTTTTAAGAAAGTAAGAAATTCAAGATGAGTTTTGAGTACAATTGTTATGTTTGAGCTCTCAATTCAAACACAAATGGAACGAATTCTCTCGCTTAACTTGAAAGACATCAAGGTGTAAAAGAACTTATAATTTATGATTCTATTAAAAATGTACAAACTAATATAATCAATGATTCTATTAAGAAACCTACCTTAGACCAGGCTGCCAGATCAATATTCATTATTCAATCGGAACTATGAAATATGCAGCACACCATTCCACGATTGCACTCTTGATCATTTTGTGGAAACCAGTCAAGTCAAGTGCTTCGTGGCACAGAGCAAACTTTCATATGGAGTACGGCGGACCCTTTGCAAGAAGCGGCTCCAAAGAAGCGAGAGAGTTGTTTGGGCACTGGGTGGCAGCGAGGGGGTGGGTTGGGTGCAGTTACCAGTGGAAATTGGCAGCCGTCAGGCAGGCATCGTGGCAACTGCAACTGCAGTCAGTGGTTGCCGTTGTGGCAGCTGCTGTTGCTGTTGCTGCTGCTGCTGCTGCTGTTGGCAATTGATGTCGCGGGCGCCAAAATCGACACACTTGTCCCTGTGTTGGGGCCGCGTGTGAGCGCGGAGCTGACGGGCTGACGGGCTGACTTGCTGCGGCTGGCAATCGGCGCCGCTCAAGTACAGGTTAAATGGATCACGACTGCACGGATTTGATGTCCGTCTGTCGCCAACGTCTGTCCGCCTGTCTTGGGGCCCATAAAATACGCGACATGCAAACGTTTTTGATGCAATGAGTCGGTCCGCCAGGTCCCGGCTCGGCTCGGCTACGCTCGGCCCGACCAGGCCAGGCTAGGCCATGCCGGGCCAGCAAAATTAGGAAATTGTGTACAACTGTTAGCTGACAAGGCAAAGTGTTCCAGACAGTTGAGTTGACTTGATGGTGACTGCCTCGTCTCGTCTCGTCTCCTTTCGTCCTCGTCTCGTCTTAACTGTCTGGTGCTCTTTGGCTAAAGCTAAGCTGATTTTTATGCCAATACCCGGCCACATTTAACGAGTCTCATTAAGCTTTTGCGACCATAAAAAACTCAACAGTTGGCCATTTTGTTTAACTGACTTTCAATTGCCTTTACAATTGCAGCGAGCACCTCACACACCACCAGCAACAACAGCAAATCCGCCACCAAAGCAGCCGCCAGCGGCAAGGCTTACAGCAGCATCGGCAGCAGCAGCAACAACAACGGCAACTACAGTAATGGCAAGCAGGCGAGCTGCTCATCCTCTGCCGCCGGCTATGCAGCTGGTGCCGGTTCCACGTTGGGCGCCTTTGGGCGGCAGCAGCAGCAACAGCAGCAGCAGCAGCTGTACGCTTCCGGCGTCTCCAAGTTGCCATTCTCGCCATTCTTTGCCGCATCGCCATTCTTCTTCACGTATCGACGCATCAGCAAACAGGAGGACAACAACAACAGTTGCAGCTACAACAACGGCAGTAGCAGCAGCACCAGCAACAGCGCTCTCATGCAGGACTACGATCGCAAGTTCAGTTTGCTGAGCCTGTTCAAGAATCCATACAAGTTCGCCGATGCCCAAACGGCACGCAAATGCTCCACGACGAGCAGCAGCGGTGGCGGCGGCAAAGTTGGCAGCGGAGCAGCAACAGCAGGCGGCGTGTGCTCGCCCAGTTGGAAGAGCTATGCGGGCGCGGGCTCGCCGCATGCGGCACTGAATCCCGCTTTTGGGGGCATGGCCTTAGGCGGCGGCGGTGGCGGCAGCCGCAAGGATAGCAGCAGCTTCAGCGGCATCAACTTTGGCGGCAGCGGTGCGGGCAGCGGCGCCTCGTTCAGTCGAGACGCCGCGTCCAATGGCGGCGGCTACAATGATCTCTCCAAGAACCGCAAGGTACACAAGTGCGATACCGAGGGCTGCGACAAGGTGTATACCAAAAGTTCGCATCTCAAAGCGCACAAACGCACGCACACAGGTGAGTCTTCTTTTGCTAGGGTTAGTTGTGCTTATTTTTATACATTTTTTAAAGTGTTTCATTTCCCTTTCTGATGTTAACTCTATAGTTGCTTTTTGCCTGTTCTATTTTTAAAATTCCATTTTCAATATTCCATTTTAATAGTCCGATTTTGTATTTAATGTCTTTTCACTGTTCCCATTTTACTTGTTAAATGCATCAGTTCCGCGGTTGCATCCTAGCCTATCAATTCGTTTCTATTTAAATGTTCCACTAATCGCAGTTCCATTTTCATATTTTTACCGTTTTACCATTTGAACTGTGTCACTTTCACTGTTCCATTTGAGCTGTGTCACTTTCACTGTTCCATTTGAACTGTACCATTTTGAACGTTCTACTTGCAGGTGAGAAGCCGTATGTGTGCACCTGGGAAGGCTGCATCTGGCGCTTCGCCCGATCCGACGAGCTGACCCGCCACTACAGGAAACACACGGGCGTCAAGCCCTTTCGCTGTCAGCTCTGCACCCGGAGTTTCAGTCGCTCCGATCATCTATCGCTGCATATGCGACGCCACTGAGCCGCAGGCCATATGGAAAATACTCATTATAGCCACGCCAAGCCACGCCCACAGCAGCATCATATATAGAAAAAAGAAATGCCCCAATGAGGCCTTTTTGTTTTGACGTTTTCTCCTTATTATTTATAAAACACTGTTTCATGCATCATTTCGTTCAGTTTGTATGTCGTAACGCTTAAGTAGCTCAATTTACATCCATAAGCGGGCTCAAAGCCCAGTCTAGCAGTAAGAATATAGCCAGTAATTAAAGGAAAAAGAATTTGTAAAATTTTTTGATATCACCTAAGCAGACGTTGCCTTCAAGAAGCCAAGTTAACAAGCGGTACTACGAGTATATTGACAATTTACTACTACACTACCTAAAAAGAAGAGAAATACTATATTTATATATATAATATATTGATGTATGGATATCTGATATTGATATTGATATTGATATGCTTAGTATGCCTTTATAATAATAAATTTGTATTGGTGCTAGCAACTTGTGTGTACATATACTAAACGAGATACGTTTTACATATCGATTATACATTAGCCAGTAATAAGGTTTGACTAATTTTAGCGCAAATTTTTATATTGGATGTTAAGTAGAAAATTTTATACAAAAACAAAATAACCAAGAATATGGTAGATAAAGACAAACAAAAATCAGACAAACACAAGAGGCAGCAATATTTATAAATGACAATCATACGATAATAATAAATTCTCATATAGTTACTTATATACATACGTTATGGCAGTTGCATTGCAGTCTATGTTTTATTTCGAAAACTAAAAAAATCTGTAACATTAAACAGTTTCCAACAGAATGACCAATTATCTGTGCTCAGACAAATTAAACAATGTAAACATTTTGACAACATTTCTAAATACATAATAAAATATTTTTATACATAAAAACACACAGTAGTTATACAAAATATGTATCTTAATTATGTGAGTGTAATTAAGAGCCTTTCTTTTCGCTTCTCAAACACACAAATAAAGTGAACATTTTTAGCTGGCAAAATTTATATCGTTTTATATTTTGCATGCACAACATATTAAATAGCTGTTAAAACAATAGACAATTTTTTGTTATATTTTCTTTACAATTGTTGAGTTTAATGTAAATTTATTTTCTTTTTTAATTTGTAATTTTCATAATCTATGTAAATCTTTCTACACTCTCAACGCTTTTAATCAGACAATCGAAGTTTTATTTCAATGCCAGCTTAATATTTATTCAGTAGCCAGTTGAAATTAGCTTCTCCCTTGTTAGCTCTTAATTAAACTTGCTTTGGACCGTAAAGCTTATAAGCACAGATCGGAGTCGATAAATTCTTTAGGCCAAACAGCATGCCGCATTTTCGTACCACGACTGCAACAACAGAAGAGCTGCAACTGCCTCATAGATTTAAACATACCACACTGAAAAAATCAAACTGCAAGCATAAAAAAAAAAAAACAATACAAAAAGAACAAAGTGTATTATTTTTGTACGCCAATACCTTATACATAGCTACATATTTTTTTTCGCTGAAATAAAAATAAAAATAAAAAGTTTTTGTACCATAAACACCGACACACACACACACACACACTTTATGTGTATATGTACACACACATGCTGAGAGGCTAACAAACACATTTGCTCGTGGCTGAAGCTGAGGCTGAGGCTGAAGCTGAACAATAACAAGAAACGGGCAGCTCATTAAGCCACACAACAGGCCGGGTCCAAATCCGCTGTGGATTTTCATTTAAATGAAAAATCAATTGAGCGCACAATGGCTACCAAGTGGCTGTCCCTGTCCACTCCACTAGCCACCGGCTACTAGTCACTAACCACTGTTCGCAGTCCAGAGCTTAGCCAAAGATGTGTGGCAAGTTGTCAACAGGCAAACGGCAACAGCAACAGCAATAGCAACCGGAGCCGCGGCCTTTGTGTCTGTGCGCAGGCAGCTCTGGCCTCGGCACTTGGACACAGCCCGACCTGGCCCGGCCCCATGGATTGGGGTCCAGCAACGGCACGCACCCGCCAATTGTCCAGGGGAGCATTGTCGTCGTTTGTCGTCGGCTGTGCGCGCGCGTTGTTTGCAATAATAAAGATGACAAATTTCTCGTCATTTGTAATTTCAATGCGGGCCTTGGATTGGCTTTTTGCTAATACGCGCAACTGGTTAGAGCAGCTGCCGGCTCTGCTCCCATCTCTTTCCCTCGCGATGACACCTGCAGCGGAAATCAGTGCATGAATAACGTTTCGATCATTAAGCTAAAATTGTGAAATATTACGTATACGCAGCGGCAATTTATTGGTAAATTAATAATAAACACAGCCGACAGTAGCTACCGCTGCTGCTGTTGCCGCTGCCGACGCCGACGTCGATGCCGTTGCTGTTGCCGTTGCCGCCTCGATGGGGCCGCGTTTAGCATAAAGGTTAGACATATATAACATACCGGTTTTTTCGGGTTAATTAATATACTACTCCTATGTCGGATTGTATGTCTAACGAATATGCCTTTTGGTCAGGTCATCTTGGCGAGGCTGACGCCAGGTTTAATGACCCGCAGCATGCAAATGAGTAAAAGTAAACAAACGAGCATCAAACGACACTGAGGGCAATAATTCTGCAGACGAGTACTCTACGTAGGATTTTTGCAATAGTTGAATTCTTCTTTTATTTTTGATGGATGTAAATCATAGTTATAGGGCAGCAAAATAAACATGTAAGGGGTGCATAACTACTTAATTCATTTCGATATAAAGGGTATTTTGTTTGATGATAAGTATTTGCAAGGCGCTTTATCCTCATGGTAAATGTTTAATGTGCATTTAGCTGTAGCTAAAAATGTTTAAAATAGGCCAGAACATTAAACACATTTTCAACATTTTGAAGGTAGATAGGTATTATTTGTCAGTCACTATGTCCTCAAGGCCAATAATTAAAGGGAAGGCATAGTTTCTAATTGCGATTTAGCACGAGTTTTATCAATTTAAGGGGAATGTACATTATAAACAGGTCAAGCTTTGGTTGGTAACTCATGTTAATGATTAAACTGAACTTAGAGATTTGCTACGATCTAATACGCCAGCTTTCTTCCCTTCAATATATGGTGAACCCACATTCTTAGCAGATAATTATTCGATTGGCAATATTTGCATGGCATTTATCATGGTAAGTATAAGATACCAGAGTCTTCTGATATTCAATTTAATAACATGCATTTTTAACAGATTAATCTTCGATTGGTAACATTTGCAGCCACTTTATCTTCATGGTAATGTTGCACTCACATTCTATAATAATCGTTAATAAAGTGCAACCAATTAATTGCGCCAATATTTTTAATGTTTCGAAGAAAGAGAAATGAACACGAGAAACTTTTTGACATTTATAACAATTTTGTATTTTTTCTAAATATAGCTATACAAAGTTGATCTTTTATAAATATTATTTTATCATTAATATTCTTAAAACACAACTTTTGCTTATGTTATATATCTAATATACAAATTTTTTACATTGAGTTTAGTTGTCCAAAACTTAAAAACTTGAAGAGAGAACGTAACAAAAAATCATTGTGCAAGATCTATAAACATTTTTGTGCGTCAATTAATGAACATGAAAGGAAAAATAAAAATAAAAAAATAAATGTATTTTTAGACCGCTCTAAACTAAATATTTAAGAGCCTTGTTGCCTGCATTGTAGCCTTGACATGAATCACACACAGACAGACAGACAGAGAGAGAGAGAGAGATAGAGAGATATAGAGAGAGAGAGAGACACACACATGGCGAGCTCATTAAAAGCCAATAAAGTTGCAGCTATGCATCAGCAAACGTGTCCATCAAACGCTGCCTGCAACTTGGAGTTGCAGCCGCCGATCGGCAATTGAATGCGGATTCGGGATCGATGCTGTCCATCAGCCAAAAAACGCTCCAATAACCAAATCGCACGGCAGGTGGGCAGGCAACGCGGGCAGGCAGGCGGGCAAGGAGGCGGGCTGCGGTTGGAGCTCGTGTGTGCCTAGGCCAGCCACAGTTGGCCATTTTTTAATTTATTGTTATGCCTTTTTGCTGGCTCTTGGCTCTTGACTGCTGCTGCCGCTGCCGCTGCCGCTGCTGGTCGGCAGGTCACCTGCAATTTATGAAACTGTGCGGCTTTTGCGGCCTGATTTTTGAGACACATTTGGACGACTGTCGCAACGGCGGCAACTCGCCCTCTCTCACTCTTTATGTGCTGCTGCTGTTGCTGCTGCTGCTGCTTCTGTCCGTTTGATTTGTGATCGATTGTGTGTCGTTACTTTGCGACATGGGGCATGAAATCTTTGACACCTAACGGTAACTGCCAGCCAGATCACAGTCACACAATCGCCCCCGTCGCAGTTTGCCTTTTAGCTTCTGCATTAAATTGGAACAGCCGCATTTGCAGAGCAGTCAGAGCAGAGCCTCTGCCTTGGCCTCTCAGCTTTGTGCCGTCGACGCCGCCGTTGCCGCCGTTGCCGCCGCGTGAGCCTCAGAGTTGTCAGCGCGTTGCCAAAGTGTTGGCAGTTTTGCCATTTATTTTACAGGTGAGTGAGCATAATGGACAGTTGGCCGTCTGGCTGCTGGTGACGGCAATGCTGTGTGGCTATGTGGCTATGTGGCCCACTGCGACATGCTGTGCGCATTGGCTCAATTAAAAATGGTCTGGGCCACGTTAGCTGCCTCATTTGACAATTGGCAATTGCCTAATAGAGGCAAATGGCCAATGGTCAACGCTCTGCAGCTAGAAACCGTTTTGTTTTTCCGCCCGATGATGCTGCTTCTGCTGCCGCTGCTGACTTTTCTTTTAATTTTGTTAGCAAAAATGCTTAAATTAAAATTCCCATCACACCATAAAACCCATAAATCATCTTTTATCTAAGCGAGTCTATCGGCGCATGCGCGCGCGCGCCAACATTCAACTTGGAGCGAGGCAGCAGCAGAAGCAGCAGCAGCAGGAAAAAGCCTCCTCCAGTTGGGTGTGCGTGTGTGTGTGTGGAAAATGATGCTGTCTGTTTTACCTGACTCGGCACTGGGAACTGGAGACTGAACCTGCTTCGTTGCCTTAATGAGAATTTAATATTTTTCAATAAAAATTTGTAAAAGGCGCGTTTTGCCTGTTGCTGCTCTCAGCCAGGCGGCTTCGGCCTCAGCTTCGGCGGTGGCTGCGATTTCCTCGGCCTCCACAGTGAAGACGCTTATAGAAAGATGCGGCCAACGTCTCTGCCACTCTAATGTGTGCGTGTGTGTGTGTGTGTATCTATGTGCTATTAACGCACTTATGTTTGGGGTCTGTTTGGGTTGTGGTCAGGTCTGGTCTCTTGTTTT